TCTAGCACCACAACCCAAAAGAATTGATTCATTATTAGTCATTGTCCAGCTCTCTGATGCATAGCAAGTAATTACAAAGGCCATAGCCTGAATCAGGCGCAAGTTGTCTCTAGAGTGACATTATTCTTCTTTAGCACTTTGTTTAGGTCCCTGACAGCAGATTTATCTAATGTAATTTGTCTTTTTATTTCCTTTCTGCTGGTGCAAAGAGTGGAGCCAAGTAAGCTGAGATTGCTTACAACCTCAATCTCTTCTCCATCTAACATGGTACTTCCAACTGGCCCAGTGGTGAGAATCTTTGTCTTCTTGGTGTTAAGCTTTAATTAATACTGAAGACTACAGTCTTTGACCTTCTACAGTAAATGCTTCAGATTCTCCTCAGTGTCAATCAACAAGGTGTGTCATCTGCATAGCATAGGTTGTTGATGAGTCTTCCTCCAATCCTGACACCACATTTCTCCTCATAAAATCTAGCCTCTAAATGACCTGTTCTGCATAAAGACTGAAAAGGTATGGAAACAGGATGTATCCCTGACTCACTCCTTTCCTTATTTTGAACCATGAAGTGTTTCCTTGCTTCATTTTAACAATTGCTTCCTGGTCCAAGTATAGGTTTCACATGAGCACCATCAAATGTTCTAGGATTCTCATTCATGTCAAGGTTAGCCACAATTTGTTGTGATCCACACAGTCAATTGCTTTTGTGTAATCAATGAAACACAGATAGACATTCCTCTGGTACCCTCTGGTTTCCACCAGAAGTAGTACACAGAGTCACTGTACCAAAAAGAATTGGCTGACACAGAAGAATTTCATGAAACATATGTTCAAGATGGAAAGGGAAGGAAGGAGGAAGTTTAAACTGCTCTGAAGGAATTGGCAAAAAGCAAGTCCCCAGAAACTGACGTAATACCAATTGACGTATTTCAACAAACAGAGGCTGCCCTAGACATGCTCACCAGTTTGTGCCAAGAAATCTGGAGGACAGCTACCTGGCCAATGGATTGAAAGAGATCCTTATTTTTTCCCATTAAAAAAAAAAAAAAGGTGACCCAACAGAGTGTGGAAATTATCAGTGTTACTGATAATCACACACAAGCAAAATCTTACTGAAAATTATCCAAAAACACCTGGAATCTCTTCTTGACAGAGAACTACCAGAAATACAAGCAAGATTTAGAAGAGGCTATAGCACTAGGGTTATCATTGCCAATGTCAGATAGATCAAGGCTGAAAGCAGAGAGTACAGGTTCATATCACCTGTAAATAAGAAGAGCTTTAAATGCCTTTTCTTATCTTCACCCTGGCTGGGACTTCCAATACAATACTGAATGAGAGTGATGCTAGAAGGCATTTTTGTCTGGTTCCCAGACAATTCTCTGCATAGAATTTTTTAGATTAATGTTAGTGTTTTATTTAGGACTTTAGCTTCTAATTAATAAGTGAGAATGACCCTTAATTTACCTTCCTCATAATATTCTTTTGCAGTTTGCTTTCAAGATTATACCAGTCTTTTTTTTTTTTTATTTTACCAGTCCTATTTTTTAAAAACGTTCTGCCATTTTGTTTTCTCTGGAATCGTTTGTGTAATATTGGAAGTAAATGTACTTTAAAGTCCCGTAGCATTCTTCTGTGAAGCCATACAGGTCAGATGGGTTTTCGGAGAGTAATTTTTAAGTACTTACTAAATGTCTCCAATGATTCTAACTTGACTTGGGTTTTCAACTTCATTTTTAGTTGACTTTAGTAGAAGTTTCATTTTTATAGTTCGTTTTGAAGGTTGCATTTCCCAGGAGATCATCCATCTAATCTGAATTAAAAATGAAATATGAAGCTCACTGCTTTCTTTTATGACCTTTGACAATCTTTACTGCATCTGTAGTGATGTTCTCTTTTTTCATTCCTCATATCGTCAATCACCTTCCTTTTTACCTTGATCTGTCTTGTCTGTGGTGTCTAGTTTATGAAACTTCTCAGAGAACTTGTTCTTGGGCATATTAGTCCTCTCAGTTTATTTCTATATCTTCTTGGAAATTTCTTCTCTAATCTTTAATATTTTCTTTCTTCTATGTTCTTTTGATTTATTTTTGCTTATCTTCTTAATTAGGATATTAAACTCACTAGTTTTTTTGTCCTCTTTTCCAATAAAAGACTCTCATTTTTCTCAAAGAATTACTTAAGCTGCTTTTCATTATTTAAAATTATTTTAATTGAATATCATTTATATAATGTAAAATTCACCACTTCACAGTGTACATGTAAGTTACAAGTACATGGCAATTAGTATATTTGCGTAATGCATAATCATCACCACTGATTCCAGGACATTTTCAACATTTCCAAAAGAAACCCAAAGTCCATTAGCAGTGTCTCCCTGTTACCTTGTTCTCTCAGCTCCCAGCAACCACTAATTTACCTCCTGTCTCCACAGATTTGCTTTTTTTTAAGCATTGCCTATAAATAGTCATATAATATATGGTCTTATGTAAGTTATCATCTTTCACTTAACATATATCACTCTCAAGATTTATCCAGGTAACAAAATGCAGCAATACTTCACTTCTTTTTGTAATTTAACTATATTACAATGTATAAATATATCACATTTTGTTTATTTATCTATTAGTTGATGGGTATGTGCTTAGTGTTCACTTTTGGCTATTATAAATGATGCTCTTATAGTATTTATATGCAAGGTTTTTAATATGGTTTTTAGTTCTCCTGGAAGTTTAATAAAGAGCTCTGGTGATATAGTATATAATGTGTCAAGCTGCTAATGTTGAGGTTTGTGGTTCAAATCTACCAAGCACTCAAAAGGAAGGAGAAAGATGAAAGTCTTCCCATAAAAACTTATAGCCTTAAACCAAACCCAAAGGAGGAGGAACACTGATTCCATCAAAGTAAAAGAGTGAGCAGTATAATTGCAGGGCCATATGATTTAGATTTTTGAGGAACTGTCAAGCTTTGCAAAAGCATTTGCACCATTTAATATTTCCATCAACAACATACATAGGTTCCGATTTCTTCACAACTTCATCAACACTTGTTATTGACCTTTTTTTAAAAATTCTATTCATAGTTCCTGGGTGGTACAAATGCTTAATACATTTATCAGATAATTGAAAGTTTGTATGTTCAAGTCCACCAAGGTTCACCTTAAAAGAAAGACTTAGCAATCTATTTCAAAAAGGTCAGCCACTGAAAACGATATGTAGCACAGTTTACTCTGACATGATGGAGTCTTATGATGTGGAGTTGATTCTGTGGCAACAGGCCTGTCCGGTCTGGCAGTAGGTCTTTGGTGGTATCTTATTGTGATTCTGACTTGTATTTCTCTAAGGCCTAATGATGTTAAGCATCTTTGTGTGGGTTTTGGCCATCTGGTTCTTTAGAGAATCATCTATTCAAATAGTTGGCCTATGTCTTAACTTAGTTGTCTTTTTATTGCTGAACTTAAAAGTTTTTCTATATTCTCAGATCCTTTTCTGGTTCGTGAGCATGATGATTGGGTGTTCATACTTTTGCATGACACATGCCTCCCAGAAACCTTGTTACAGCATGGACACATTGCCTGTCTGACATGAGAAATAAGAAAAAAAAGGTTTTTATATATTCTGAACTGGGCCGATTCACGCCTCCTTAAAAAATCTGGTGGTCCCCTGCTCCCAGGAGGTCATCATATTGCTGCTGAACTTAGTGTGGACACCCAATCACCATAGCACACTGCAGCCAAGAACTCCCAGACTCAAGTAATCCTCCAGCCTCAGCCTCCCAAGTAGCTGGGACTACAGGCTCATTCCACTATGCTCGGCAGTTTTTATATATTCTGGACTCCAGATCTTTACATGGTTTTAAAATATTTTCTCCCATTCTGTGGGATACTTTCTTAATAGTGTTCTTTGAAGCACAGAATCTTTTCATTTTCATGATTCCAAATTTATGTTTTTCCTTTGATTGCTTGTGCTTTAGAAGTTTAGAACTCATGACCTAATGCATAGTAATCCCCTTACATTTCAAGTACTTATTTTATTATCATTTTAAATATTTTACCTATTATGATTTTGTATTTTGACCCATTAGATAATTCTAAGATTTGTGGGGCGGGGGGGTGGCAGGTTCTAATAATCTTTTATTACTAATCTCTCAGTTTCAATTCTTCTTAAGACTTCAATTCAGTCTCTTATGAGGGCACTCGAATCCCAACCCCCCTATTCAGTGTAGTGCAGTCATAGGCTTACCCTCTAACCACTTTTCAGGCTTTGTTTTTGTCCCTGGGCATCTTGCTTCCTTACAAATTCAAGCATGTTTTCTTTTGGTGTGTGGGGTTTTTTGTGAGTTTGTTTTGTGTGTGTGTGTGTTTTTTTAAGGTGAAAGTGCAGGCAATTTATTAGTGCAAGTAAAGGCAGTATGTTCCAGAGCCAGGATAGGTAACTGTCCAAAGAAGAGAGAGGAAGGGAATGGAGAGGACATCAAGAATGTTTTTGAATACTTACCTGGCGGGGGAGATACCATGATCACGAAAGTGGTTTTCCCAGGGCGAGGCTTATCCATTGCAGTCCGGATGTGCTGACCCCTGCGATTTCCCCAAATGTGGGAAACTCGACCGCATAATTTGTGGTAGTGGGGGACTGTGTTCGCGCTTTACCCTGATTAAAAAAAAAGAAAAAAATAGAGAAAGAATGTTTTTGAGTATTCAGAATGGCTCTTTCCACAATGAAGCACACAGGACATAAGTGTCACACAGACAGACTTGGACTAAATCCTGGCTCAGCCTAGGTAATCTTGGACAGGTCATAACTTTTCTAGTCCCCAGCATCCTCATGATCCAAGTGGAGATAGTATGCTCTCCTTCCAAGGCTGTTGTGGAAAGGGAACGGAGCATGTCACTTCAGCTACATGGGGCACTTAGTATGGTGGCCGGCACATAGCAGTGTACTCAACAAAACATCTGTCTTAACTGGCTCTCTTCATCTGTTTGCTTTTCCTGTGTCTCTCCCCAGCATTGTGATGACCACCTGCTCCACCTTCTTTGCCTTGGGTCTCATGCCTCTCCTCTTGTACCTCTACTCCATGGGGATCTACGATGGAGACCTGAAGGACAAGGTGCCCTATGGCAGCATTGTGATCTCCCTGGTCCTGGTTCTCATTCCATGCAGCATCGGGATCTTCCTCAATGCCAAGCGGCCACAATATGTGCCCTATGTCATCAAGGTAAGAGCCTGAGGGTCCAACCTCATCCCAGTATGTAGCTTGAGGCAAGTCTCTCACTTTGCCTGTGTCAGCTTCCTTCTTTGTTTAAATGAATGAATGTATGAATGAATGAATAAAAATAAATAAATAAATGCAAGTAAGCCATAGATTTTTTTTTATATCTACTTCATTTCAAGTGCAGGAAAGTACTTTAGAAAAGCTAAAAGAAATGTTTAAAACACTACACGCACAACTATAAGTTATAGTCATTATATTAGCAAGAAAATTAAACTTGTCTTAAGCACATAAGAGTGCTCTGGTGGCATAGTCTGTAGGAAGTTACGCTGCTAACCCAGAGACAGTGCTTCTCTAACAGTTCAAATCTACCAGCTGCTCCTTGGGAGAAAGATGGGCCATCTCCTGCCATATGGTTTAGAGGACCACCATGTCCACCCCAACATATTCTGATGGGTCAGGTATGAACTGGTTCCAACTCAGCCTCAATGAATTCATTGAGTTAGATGGTAGGTGTTATGGTAGGCCTTATGAGTAATCACTATCCTCAAAGAGTTTAAATTGTTTCTAGAAACTGAAGAGTATAATCAGGTTTTGGCAGGAAGCAAGGAGGTGTTATTTAGTGAGGACTGATGTGATCAATAAAGACTTCTGTGACAAGAAGGCAGGGAGGGACAGGGAAATGCGGAGAGACTGTGGAGACTGCAACTAATGTCATGAAATGAGTTGTGTATGAATTAATGTTGTGTATGAACAAATGTTCACCTAAAATAAAATATTACAAACACAAAGGATATAAAGGCTGAGATCTCCTTGTCCCATAAAATATAGTGAGTACTATGCTAAAAAAAAATTAGGAAAACTATTATCTTTGCTTTCTGATACACTTAATCATCCTAAAACATTACAAACCAAAATAACTTCTGTCTTGATTGTCTGGTGTTCCTGTAACAAATAGCACAAGCAGTTGGCTTATTTTCTCAGATTTAGGAAGCCAACGAAGCCTAAATTGAGAGTATTGGATGAGGGAAATGCTTCTCATTCTGTTGGTTCTGGAGAAAAGTCCTTACTCTTTTCAGCATCTGTGGGCCTGACATTCTTTGGCAACTCCCATGAATCTTGGAATCCATCTTATCCCTATATTTCTCTCTGCTTACTTGTTTAATCTTCTTTTAAATCACAAGTGATTTGTTCAAATGCACCATATACTAATCCTGCCCCATTAATATAATAGACAATCCATTCCCAAATAGCATTATAACCATAGGTATATTGGTTACCATTTACAACACATATTTTGAGAAGATATTATTCAATGGATAGCAACCCCTACTAGCAGCTCATATAGGGAGTTTTGGTGGCCTAGTGACAAGAAGTTGTGCTGCAATCCCAAAGCTCATAAGCTGCTCCATGGGAAAAGGATGGACAATCTCCTCCCATGCAATTAACTACCTCTGAAAATCCACGAGAGGGTCAGCTATGGGTTGGTTTGGACTTGATCGTACATGACAACAATAACAATAATAGCTCATAGCAGAAGGCAACTATTCAAATGCTGTTTAGCCAGTTGTATGCCCTATCAGAAGATCATACTTAGATAAACCAAGATACAATTTCAGGAATGTTTAATTTTAATTTTTTAAATTTTTTGTGTGTGATTTTAATGAAGGTTTACAGAAAGCTAGGGTTTTAATTCATTTGTTGTTGCACATCATCCTCCCTCCCCTAGTCCACTTTGCAATGTAACCTGTTGTTCCAGATTATTGTCATACATAAAATGCCTAATACATTTCTTTCAGACAGTTCTTCCTCTCATTTGTTTGAATGCAGAGTTCATTATTTATCCATTCTTTTCCTATTCTTCCCCACCCAAATCACCATATCAGTCCTATTTTATACCAGCAATGTTATGCAGTATTGGTCCTTTTGTGACAGAGATACTTCACTCAGCATAATGTCTTCCAGGCTCCCCCGTGTTGTGTAATGTTTTATGAGTTCATTGTTTTTCTGTGCTGCATACTATTCCATTGTGTGAACGTACCATAGTTTTTGTTTTTTGATGGGCATTTGGACTGTTTCCATCTCTTTGCTATTGTGAATAATGCAACAGTAAACATGGTTGTGCATGTGCATACATCTGTTTGAGTTGTGGCTTTAGTTTCTTCATGTGTGAAGGAAAAAAATGTCAACAATCCAATTGCAAAATGGGCATAAGATAGGACTAGATACTTCACCAAAGAAGAAATTCAGATAGCAAACAAATACATGAAGAAATATTCATAAGTCCTAGCTATCAAAGTGCAAGTCAAATAAACAGGTTTTTGGTTAAAAAAATGCAAATCAAAATTACTATAAGAAATCCCGATGGCATGCAGTTCAAATCCACCAGATGCTCCACCGGAGAAGGAGGGGCAACCTCCTGTGCCAGTTGGATCCAATTTAACAGCACATAACAAGTAAAATAAAGAAGTTAATAAATTAATTTAAAAAATGACTATGAGATATCACCTCACCTTGCAACAATGCCAAAGTTCAACAATGGTAGCAAACAATATATACTTGTAAAGTTGCAAAGAGACTAGAACTCTTATTCACTGCTGATGGGAATGTAAGATGGTACAACACTATGGAAGGCTGCCTGGCATTTTCTTTAAAAGTTAGAAATGGGCCACACCCACACTGGGGAGCTGCTTACTGATACCACTCGTGTGCTGGGGAGCTGCCTGCAGCCATGCACATGCTGGGAAGATGCTGATGCACATGCCAGGGAGTGATGCGTAGTGGAGCAATGCCTGGAACACCTGTCCTAATGTCACCAGCCTGCACCCAGAACGCAGCTCTGGACGTGCACCAGAAGCAAAGCTGGAACCTGAGTGAGGGCTGGACCTTGTGGGACCCCTTAGGCTCAATCAGAAGAAAGAGACAGCTGGAGCTTGTTCTTGAAGGGAAAACCAAGGCTTCCTGGTTTTCCAAGCAGGTCTCCGCACTCTGCCTTACATCTCTTCACATCCAGTCCATCAACTGCCTTTAGCCCAGAGCACTGTGAGCTACCCTAGCTGAGACAGTTGTCTGATAGAAGAGGTTGCTTGAACGGCTTTTTCTCTATGAACTGAGAGAAACCCAGGCAGGGTAGCTGCCCTACCCTTTTCTGGGGTGGTGACATCAGATCAAGAACTTGCTGTTGCCTCAGACATGAAAAACTCTACCACAGCAATGTCACATAGGAAGAAGTCTACCTCACACTCTACACAAGCCCAAAGCAAGATGTCACAAAAAAAAAAAAAGGTAAAACAGTATCAATGGATTTCCTGAAGCCAGAAAGTCTGATGGAACTTTTTGACACAGAATTTAAAAGAACAATTATTGATTATTTTCAATGGGTGAAAGACAAACTTGAAGAATTACAGGACACCACAAGCAAAAACCAGGAGGAGCTTAAAAAAAAACCAACAATATAAAACAATGCAGATCAAACAAGCGAGAGTTTAGAGGCTCTGGAAAAACAAGAAATCACAATCCAAAATACGAGGACCAATGTTTCAGATGCTGTCAACATGATGGAGGGACACAGGAATGGGGTTGAAGAGATGGAACACAGACCAGTGAAATAGATGATAGAATTATCACACTGATCTGCTAGAACAAAATGCAGAATCAAAAAGGAAGGAAAAAGAAGAAAATCTAAGAATAACATGGGACACCATCCAGAGAAATAACATGCAGGTAATGAGAATCCTAGAACATGAAGAAGAGAAGTAAAGGCACCAAAAAAGTTGTGGAAGAATTAGTAGAAGAAAATATTCCATACTCAAGAAGCTAAGAGAACACCATATAGAATAGACCCCAAAAGTAAAACATCAAAACATATCATAGTCAAATTTGTCAGAAACAAGTATAAGGAGTTGTTGTTGTTGTTGTTGTTGTTGTTGTTGTTATGTGCCAT